GCAAGGACAAGGGACAAGGCAGGATACACCCTGGACGGGATGCCAGCCCATCACAGGGCCCACAGAGACACAAACACCGACACCGATTTTACCAAAGGTCAATTAACCCACCAGTATGTCTTTGGACTGTGGGAGGAAACACTACAGGTCCAGAATTGAACTGGGGACCCCAGTACTGCAAGGGCAGGATTGTGTATTGTTGTGTTCAACATTGTTTTGATTTTGAGTGTTTAAAATGTTTGTTAAAGAGCATGTCCTGACTAGATTGTGTGGTGTTCTCAATCACTGTTTCCTCCTGTGTTCTGGGACACAGGAAGGTGCTGTTGTTTTCAGCACAAGGTCAGGGTCGAAGCTGAGACAGCTTCCACCTGCCTCCCCTCTGTCTCCACCTCGCCTTGTTTTTATACAAGTTGTTTGTCAGCAAGCCTACAGCTTGTACGTCCGTGGTGTACCATTAACGAGACCTCGTTTAACGAGATTTTATTTTGTGCCAGAACCGTGGGATAAGAGCACATGACACCTATGAACAACAACTAGTTACAGTATGTCCTAATAAATGGGCATGATTTTCTGCTGAAACCTTTATCAGGACACATCCAGAGTGGGTGAAACAAATGTATCATTTTCCCACTTCAAAATCCACTTGTGAGTGGACATCAGAAAAGCAGAGCCACCTTCTTCCCTGATGGAGTAAACATAAACGTCTGTAAAAAGTGCCTTGAAAATGTAAGTAATTTTGAAAGATAGACATTATTTATTTTCTCAAAACCTAAAATACCATATATGAACTAAAATATGCCAATCTTTATAAAAAAAAAACCCTAGTAAACATCTTTTCAAAATGTCATATTCCATGTCAAATGAAATATTTCTTTCCATATTAAAGATATCATGATATTTCACTTTATTTAAGCTTAAGTTACAGGTTAGGTACAAGAGTTTTCACAACCTGGTAAAATCAGGAATTAAGAAAACAAATAAATGTGAGCGTTATGCTTATGGGAATATTTTAGCCTTTTGGAAGGCAGAAGATTGTACCCCTCATTATTCCTATAGGTTTAAAGGTTTGCTTGTGTAATGCAGCAACACCACCTCCAATAATAATACCCTTTATTTAGCAGGTAAGCCAATTGAGAACAAATTGTTTTTAATACTGATGATCTGGAGACCCTTTAACGTTTGCATAAACAAAAGTCTGAAATATGAACAGAATTTACAATACCACAGCACCGATTCCTAGTATAGAGAATTCAATGTACTAAGAACACATGGGAAATAAATGTGGTCCCTAACAGAATGTGCCTTTTTCATTCAGTTTTTGTTTCAGAGTAAAGTGGTCCAGTGGGATGGTACCACTGTACCATGGTGACAGTGGGATGAGTCCAGGGGTAGTAAGAGCTAGTGACCTAGTCAAATGAAATTCTTTGGCTTTTTATTTCTCTACAGTGCAGACAATTCGCCAAGAACTTTATCACAGAAAGATAAGTGTTGTGACCAGGGGTAAAACACCACCTGTTGACTTCAGAGAGCTGGTATTTAACCCTGTGGAGAGAAGAAAGACGAAGCACAACTGCTTACAGGTAAGTTCCTAACTCCGGGAGACCAATTTAAGAAAATTAAGATCTTAAAATAAGTATTTATTACATGTTCAAAATGTGTGTCAGTCATGTAGAAAGCAAGACATGAGGTACTGTACATCATACAAATACTTGTATTTATTACAGAAAGCATCTACTAACAATAATTTTAATTGCGCTGTGGTCAGATTCTAGATGTCAGTATCATTTTGTGGTGTTCAAATTACCGTTACCTGGATTTCAATCAGATTCACCCAGGGAGGCATATTAAATTATAATTTTAAAATAATTGTATCTGGCATGCTACAGTCCATAAATTGTGTATTTTCCAGGTAAACCACAGCTGACAGAAACAGAATCGCAAGACACACAGATGGAGCAGATGTTTGAAAACTGAGTGTATTTGTTTTAAATTAAACAACTGTAACCTTGAACCGTTTCTACTAATTATATTTATCATAAGCCTATTAAACAGTTTTGTGAAACAATGTTAAGGGAACCCTCAGTAATAATTACAAAGTGTCAGGCTTCTGTGTTAACTAGAGTGATAGATTTTTAAAATTGTAAATAGCATAATTCTTTGTAAGTGATGGAAGTGATTTCACTGTGGAATGGAAGGCAACCACAGTCGCCTACTGTACCTACTGTATGTAAATCAGGTTACAGGTGAATTTAATGTCCTTTAGTATGTGTTAATCTAGTTGCTTACACTTAAAAAAACAAATATGTGCTTAGTATAACCTATCAAAGAAAAAAATTCATGCTAACAGCTCAGATGTTCCTCACGTTAAGTGCCATGAGAATTTCAATGGACGAAACAGACATCTCTTCCAGTAACTCCTCATCTGAGTCTTGCTTCTTTTTCATCTCAGGTTTGGACAACAGCAGAATTTAAGGCTGGTCTTAAGAAAACCAAGAATGCTGGTGATAAGGCGTTTGGTTTTACTCCTTTTTTTGTCTACTGGTGCCTTCTGTGCTAACCTTACAGGTATGGTGCAGATCGTCAGAATCAGGCTTTGCTTAAAGCAATTCGCCTTCTTGCATAAATATGCACATGAGAAAAGCAAAAAAAAGATCTTAGTGGTTAAAACGTGTATCTTGGTGGGCTCATGAGTGGCTCGTGATGGGCTATCTCCTTTCTGAAACAATATGAACAGGTGTTGATGTGGATCTTGTTAAACACATCTGTTGGCAGCCCACTGTCTCAATTTTCAGACAAACTGCACAGCTGGCGGTGCAGTCTTCTGCCTCATAATTCATTTCAGTGCCTGTGATCAACCCGAGTCTCTCCATGATTGACTTTTTGGTACTTTCAGAAGGTGCCATTGCATGAATTGTTTGTTTATTTCAAGTTGCAACCAACACAGGAAGGCTCCTGATGTACTGTCCATGTGCTCAGGTATTCCCTGTTTTTGCTTTGGCAGGGACATTCAGCACTTGCTCAGACTGCCCGGACAACGCCATCTGCCTGCCTCCCTCGGACCCTGAGCCCTCCTCCCAGGCTGTCACATGCAGCTGCAGGGAAGGCTTCGTGGGCAGTGGC